ATTCGTTACCCTGGGAAGCCCTTAACTGGTGGTGGGCAGGTGTAGGAATGCAACACACTCCTTTGACTGGGGGAGGGCAGGTCTATCTATGGCCTGTTAGACTCTGGAGCTCTCCTGTGGGGTCAAATGGAAGATACTGTTTGTGGAACTTGAGATCAAATCTTTGTTCCCCAGTTTTCCCCAGGAACACTTTTAATAGATCACTTGCACACAAATCCTTACTTCAAGATCTGCTCCTGAGGGAACCCAACCTTGAAGACGTTTCTAGAACCAGCACTCCAGCAAACCAGTCACCATGTTCACAAACCACCACCCTCGAGGCACTGACGTTGCCAGCCTTCTCTGGTCGGTCAGCTCAGCTGGGCAGTACTTATAGCTCTTCCCTAATCTCCTCAGCGATTTCCTCTTCAAGATCATTAGAAAGTTGAGGCAGGTGACCTCCCTTCTCCCCATTCCTCCTGCCCCAGACAATCTTATATGCTTTTTGGCACCTGCCTTGTACCTCTGAGGCATAATTGTGTCCTCTTCTTTGGAATTTTCTCCTCAGTGAGCACCTTTTGACCTTTTATCTTCTTTATCTTGGCTTCTAAATATGTTTAAATATTGTTCAGTCACAAATGTTGTCTTTGTACTAGAAACCTCCACACCCAGTTACTCTACTTCTCTCTAGTCTTAGTCAAGGGTTCACTTCTGCCTCAACTCGCTACACAACTGGCACTGACCTGGTCTTTTTTTTTGTTTTCCTTTTTTTCAATTTTGTCGTCAAATTGTTTAAAACTAAATTCTTATACATATTTTTGAACTCCAGTTGCCCTGATTTCTGTAAAAAAAATATTGAAATGAAAGGAAGGAAACATTTGTTTATATTGACTGCAGTGGAAATAAACTAAGCAAACTAGTCTACCAATAAAATCTGCTGGATAGTATAAAAAATGAAGGCAAAATTAAAGTATCTTCGACAAACAAATAATGAGAGAATTCTTCACAGGACCCCATACCACAGGACCTAAAAGGTATGATTTTTTTTTTTTGGATAAAGGAAAATGAGCTTATAAGAAGCATAGCATAGCAATATAGGAAGAAATGAAAAGCATCGGGCCTCCCTGGTGGCGCAAGGGGTTAAGCAACGCACTATGATGCAATCCACAGCCTCTGCAGCACGAGTTCGATCCCCGGCCGGCCAGGGAGCAATCCACATGGCTAAGCAGACCTCTCCTGACTCACCCACTGCTTCCCTTCAGCGGTATATTTCAGTCAGTCTGCTGTTGGGTTCCCCACTCTGTCTCTGGTGAATCCTCTCCTCCCCCCGCATCTCTGGCCTATGCCCCAGCTCTTGAATGCATAAGTAAATAAATCTTTAAAAAAAAATGAAAAGTATCAAAAAGGGAGAAATAAGAGTAGTTTTTAAAAACAAAGTACCATTGTTTTAGACCCTCGTTGATTTCTTGACAGTATAGGGTTTCTCCCCTCAGGTGTGGTCACCACAGCTCTCCTACCACCCAAGCACCCACAGTTGTCCGCTAGAGTCCCTTGTGCTCCCCCTCACCCTTCTTATTCCACGCCCTCTCCCTCCTCTTCTCCCCCCCCCCCCACCTCCAGATCTACTGACCTGGTCAGGATCCATGCTTGAGACTTGAGACACGCTCCCCTTCCGCCTTTCCTTCCTTCTGCATCCAACCTGTTAGCAAGGGTATTTTTGATTATTACCAAAATGCATTTTCAACTTTTCTCTTTTCTCCTTGCCAGTGCTTCTGTTTGGGCATTGGAGCTGGAGTGAGCGCCAACACAGAGAAACAGAGATTGAGCTTTCGAGTTGCAAACTGACAGTGTATGGGCAGCCTCTTCAGCTGCAGAACTCAGGGGGGCAGAGGTGATATTGAAAAGGTGTCAGCAGTGTCTGCTCCACCTCCTCTGGCCTTCAACTATCAATAGTTCATTTTGGGTTTCTGTCACTAGGACCAAGGGAGACCAGATCATGCAGCTCACCTCATTTCTTCCCCCCTAAGCAGCTACACTCATGTCGGGCCAGACTCTATACAAGCCGTTGCTGCCAGCAACACTTTCTTCAGTGCACACAACAGAGGGGTTGTTGGAGGCAAAAGGACTGTGGCAAAACGTATGGGTTGACTGTAGAGCAAGGGGTCAAAAAAAAAATGGCTCCTCATTCACCCATGGGCTGCTGCCACCTGTTATCTGGTGAAGAGCTCACATAGCAAGTAAGAGGAGCCAAACATCTGGGGAAATAGTAAGGTGCTCACAATACATACAAACATCTCACTTTTGGTGTCATATGAGCTCAAAGTGTGATGTCTAAACTGAATTTTAAAGGCATTATTCCTTTAAATAGCATATGACTAGAACTTAATGGTGAACCCCCAAATTGAGGTAAACCACAATTATCTGCTGACCTCCTAAATGACCAGAAAGTTTTTTTTTTTTTTTTAACTGACCTGAAAACAAGTCGATTGCTGTTATTTGGGATGCATTTGGCTGCAGAGAGCAGAAACTGGCTTCACGGGCTCGTCCAAACTGGGGCTTCTTTACTTCACTGGTACAAGACCGTTGTTGGCGATCATGCTGTCAGGGACTCAGAGGTGGGGTCACTTTGATCCAGTGGATGAGTTATAAGTGTGTCCACTCTGTTTAATCCTTCCGCTAAGGAGAAATTCTACATTATGGCAATTTCAGAGTCAGGAGAAATAAAAAAAAAAAGAAGAAAATGCAATAATGTTAAAAATAATAAGCATGTGTCTTGGAAATGGACAGGATTCTGTTTACAAAGTGTTCTGCCTCCTGCTTGGTCCTGGTCCTTGTCACACTTAAAATAGAGAGTTCCCTTCTGCACTGTTGGTGGGAGTGCAAACTGGTCCAACCACTGTGGAGAGCTGTGTGGAGATTTCTGGACCTACTAAACATAGAGCTTCCATATGATCCAGCAATTCCACTCCTAGGTATTTACCCAAAGGACACAGAAACATCCATTCCAAAGAACACCTGCACCCCTATGTTTATAGCAGCACTGTTTACAATAGCTAAGCTTTGGAAACAACCCAAATGCCCAAAAATAGATGACTGGATCAAGAAGATGTGGTACATATATACCATGGAATATTACTCAGCATTCAAAAAAGATAAACACATGCAATTTGCAGCAACATGGATGGCGCTGGAAGGGATCATGCTCAGCGAAATAAGCCAAAAAAGAAAAAGAAAAATACCGGATGGTCTCACTCATAGCAGGAATCTAGAAAACTTAAATAAGGGACCAGGAAAATGAATAACTATAAGAAAGTGAAAATCAAAATCAACAAAAACTATGAACCAGAGACAATTTAGGGGGGCGGGGGCGGGAGGGGAGGGATTGGGGTCAGAATGGGGGGGCTGCAATTGTATGGGGAATATAACAATAAAATTTATAAAAAAAAAAAAATAGAGAGTTCCTCTTTCTTTGGTTTTGTTCTGTTTGCTGTGCACTGGGGTCAAAGTCATTGCCAGCGGTAAAGGCGATAGAGCAGAGGGAATAAGGCCTCTGGCCCGGGACCACAGCTGCATGAGCCGCCACCCTTTCTGCCCTACAGGAGGGGCGATGTCCGATAGTTCAATGTAATCTTATAATTCTTGTCACTGGGTGACCATTCAATGAGTGCTGAATAGAAAATAACTTGAACAGGGCCTCCCCGGTGGCGCAGCGGTTGAGCGCTGGGTTGCGAATCTGCCCGCCGCCTCTGCGGTGCCGGTTCGATCCCCGGCTGCTCCCGGCCGCTGGAGGAGGGTCCCACATGGCGTGCAGACCTCTCCTGCGCCCGCTGCTCCCCTCAGCAGTGTACTTTGGTCCTTCTGCCTGCTCTGCTCCCCGCTCTGGCTCTGGTGAATTCTCTCACCCTCCCGCGCTTCTGACTGTACCCAGTGCTTGTATAAGTAAATAAACAAATCTTTAAAAAAAGAAAAGAAAAGAAAAGAACTTGAACAGCTCCTAAGTCACCAAGCTGGGGCACAAACACTGTGATGTGGGTGTCCTGCTGAGAAGCGCGAGCTGTGCCTCCTCTCTCCAATTTTACTGAACACGCCTCAGTTTCTGGCCTCCTGGTAATAAGGTTAAAGACAGAAACTTTTCCTACTTCCCAAACTGCACCGTGCCCCTCAGAATATGTAAGGAAATGCAGCCAGCATCTTCTGGAAGATTAGGAGGGCAGTAAGATTCCAGAGCCACCTTCCGGCTGACATTTGAGCCCTGCTTTCAGCACGGTCAAGCCTTTTGGAGGCAGCCAGTGTATGGCTTGTATCAAACTCTATATTTAGGAAGAACAACTGTGAGCTATGACAGGAATTCTCTTTAACACTTAGCCTTAAACTGAGTTCCCCTCCAGCCCCGAGCTGGGAGCAGCTCTCAATACCCGGTGAGGCACGGAGCACTTGAGCTATTTCAGCCCTAGGAAAAGCATCGGAATTGAGATCGCAGCTCAGAGGATACCAGGAGTCCCTTCGACCTTCTGAGGAGCCTTGTACTCTCGCACCTGGCTGCCTGGGACTTTCCTTAGGCAGTAAACAAATCCATAAGCAGGTAAGCAGAGGGACCCATCCCAGCAACTGGACTTTCTGAAGGAAATTCCTTGATATCGAACTTGAAGTGGCTACTTATAACTTTGTAGACTTGTAACTAGTGGGTGTAGCTTCCTTGTAAATTCACTGTTCATTGGTGATGTTGCTGCTTCTGATTTATAAAGTGTATATGTTGGGGGGAGTAGTATGGGGGGAGGTGTGCGTTTGAAAGAATACTGAACTAAAAGTAGTTTTCATTGATAATGAGATTTAGAAAATATCCACGGTCCAGATGTGATAGCTGTGACCCTGAACTTTCTGTCATATTGATTGTAATGGTCAGAGCTACAGTCGTTCAGCTGCAGACCGATTCGGGCTGTCAGCCTAGAAATAATCAGGAGAATTTGGGGCAGAGAAAAACTATCATGCCAGCTTCTTGGTTACCTAAATGCAAGTTATTGCCAGAGTTTTTACACAGTAGAAATTTAAAATGCTTTTCTCTTCTCCCTAAGCGCCAGGCTTGGCTTCTGCAATAAAGTTCTATTAACATAGAGATCGATTACTACTCCAGAACCACCCTTTTGCAAACCCCACTTTGGCCACAGTTTTCCCTATACCCAACTGGGTAGAAGGCAGCACTGGCATCTCTCTGTGTGGACACCAGGTCCTGGAACATGTTAGAGTGCCTTTTTTCCTCTCGGCATATTTAAGGCAGAGTCAATAAGGAGCCAGTCAGTTTAGACAACTGAACATCTTTCTACACCCTTTTCAGGAATTATTTTTAGCTGCAGGACAGAAGATTATTCCCCGTGAGATTGAATTTAGCCATTTAACTGACCTTTAGAAAGAACAAGCAAAGCCCCCTCTCTTCAAATATTGATTTATTTTCCTCTGAAACCCTTCTGATTAAATTAGTGATATTTATGCTGACAACTTTTTAGTAAGTCAAAGAGTCTTATTTAGAAATCAGATGTCGGGCTCAATCCAAAGCCCGAGGAGGTACATTGTGCATGACTCAGCACACAGACCATTAAAGGTCCCCACTGACTTGCAGAATTGCCAGGTAAAGTTGACTGTGCTGAGCTGGCAAGCATTGCCATTGTAATTTAGGCTTTGTAAAAGTCAATCAATGCTTTGACAGGCTTCCCGTGCTTCCAAATTTCATCCAGAACAGGGAGATACAGTAAGAATGTTTGCAGGAGTACCTCTTGGGATGAAAAGCCTGCCCCGGTGTGAGTGTCACTGGGCCTCTAAAGCATGGCTTGCTTTTTTGGTCTCAGGACGAAACGTGCAGATAAAGAAGAAAGGTGCATTCTATACTCTACATCCCTAATGGAGGTGAATGCAGGGCCAGGGAAACAGCCAGGGAACACTGTCTATTTTTATTCATCAGTGTGCTTTGCCCTGATTTCTCTGCGAATAATGAGGACAGCAGGCTGCAGAACTGATTTACACAAATGTTATCTAGCCTGTTTGCAAGGAATGAGAACTGGGATCTGACCAACTTCTAGAGATGTCCCTGTTGTAGGTTGCCATATATGTTAAGAAGGAATTTGTATGCAAATGATACTATACCAGAGTGAAGCAGGAGACAGGCCCACGGTATATCTATCCCTTAGGCACAGAGGTCCACAAAAAAAAACAAGCAATCCAGTAGCTCATTGAAAAAACAAAGTCATCCTAATTAAAAATAATCGACACAGTATGAATGACACCATTGTCACTGCCTGACCTTTTTTTTTTTTTTTTACATTTCAACCTGCCATTGTGGTAACATAAAAAAAAGTCCTAATTCCATATTTTGAATTGATGTACAATAACTTTTTTAAAGTTCCCAGGTGATATCAGTTAAACTTTAGTTATACACACACAGAGAATACCATATGCTGAGGTATTTAAAGTCCTGTGAGAATAATTGCTTTGTATTGCTTCTACTAGCTGTTGGGACTAGAAACATTGAAAATTAAGCTACCAGGTTTTCCTTTTGAGATGAAGCTCTGTGTCCTAGATCCTCATATTAAAAATCCTTTATTGACTCTTTGACCCTGCAGGAAAGATAACAACCCACTTGAAACATATCATAGAGCAAAATGCATTCCTGATTATTTAATTGCTGTAGCTTTTTAATTAAGCATATTGATAACAATCCTACCTAGACTCGTGTTCGTGAAGGCAATATCTAAACATTATCAAAACACTCAGGTGAAACTTAAAAAAAAATATCGTATTGCTTTCATGTATATGACACCAGAGATTATGTATCTAATCTTTTATTAATTATGGAGATTTTTTCTAAAAATTATGCAATTGTTTGACTTCATAAAACAGAGTGTAAGACTTTGAAACACATGCTCTCTCTCTTAAAAAAAAAACACAAAAAAACCTATGGTTTTTTAGAGTTCTCAGATCTGTTATCTCTGCAAGTGTTGAGGGCATCACCACACCAATTCCGACTCTACGCATAAAACTGTAGATCAGTATAGTACTAAAAAGTCACGAGCTATGAACACTGGCCATGAAACAATAAATGTTTGCATCATGCTTTACAGTTAACAGGCATTTTCAGAAACATGGTGTCATTTTGATTCTTACCACAACCTGAGAAGCAGGTAAAATTTAAGGAAGAGTAGACGGGCCTAGAAATGTTGAGTGACACAGCCCAGGTTACAAAGGACTGGTGACAAATGCCACTCTGTTCTCTGTGCCTTTCTGCTCAGTCAATAGTTAGCCCAAAAATCAATAGAAGAAACCCAGTTAACCCATTTTACAGTTTGGCTTAAAAAACAGCACGTCTCCGATTCACTGAATCTGTCACTTCTGTGTCTGACCTGTTGACGTTTAACAGGCCGAGATACAGCAGCACTTACGTGTGGGACAACAGGCCAGGGCTGGGTTTCAGGAAGCCCTGCCACTAGTCACCGCTCTAAGTCAGGTCTCACATGGTCACGGAAGCCATGTTTGCCTTCTGAGACTGTCCTGTCAGAGAAGACAAGTGAGGCTTGCCGGATGCGGGCGTTTACAGAACCCGGGCCCTGCTGGAGAGAGGACAACAGAGTGCAGAGAGGCAGCCACATCCCCCCAGGTTGCGTGCAGGGAGAAGAGAGTTTGCTCTATCTAGTAAGAACAGGGCGCAGGCCCTTCCCTGGGTGTTCAGAGGAGCAGAGGCGACTGACCAGCGGGGCAATAATTCACTCAGATCAAAAGTTCAGTTTCAAGCAAGAGCTTCAGTGGCTCCAAACAAAGGTGTTTTATTCCCACACCCTCTTGGCGTTGCTGCTCCTGGCAGGGGGCAGGAGGGCAGAGGAGAGGATAGCGCCTTTCAAGTTTCTGATTGCCTATCATTAGCATCAGGGGTGAGGCTTCTCAGCGTTTCTCCTTCTGAATGATTTATCCAGGCCTCTAGTGTTCCCTCTCCCTGAGGCATTAGGAAGGAGAGCCGCTAAGTAACTTTGGAAACTGAGACTGAAAGAATATACGGCCAGTGAAAGCGTGACTGCCCAGTTGAATCATGAGTTACGTGCTACTTTATCAAGCCCGAGAATCTGAATGCGCCACCTCTGACAGTTTCTTGCTTGTTTTTTTAGGGAGAAGGCCGCGTGAATATGTCGAAACAGCCAGTTTCCAATGTCAGAGCCATCCAGGTGAGTAGGTGTATTTGCGTTTTAATATCAGCTCTGTGACTGCTACCCTGTTTGCTTCATAAACCAGACTTTTCTTTGCGATTGTTCACCTCTGAGGAGGAACTTTGAGAAGAAAAGCAAGTTCCTGTTTGTAAGAGTCCTAAGGTACAACTGAGAAAGGGCATTAGGCTGACAAGGTTCAGTTGAGAAAGGAGAAGCTGTTTTCGTGCAACTGTGCTGAACTGTAAGACAAGCCACGTTTATGATGAGAATTGAATGATCTACAAGAGTGTAGGCTGTATTTTTGGGATATTTTTGATATGCTCTTTGGGAGATAATTTAACTTTAGTTTCCATTTTTATCTCCATTTGTGTTGACCTATCCAAGATACATCTTTAAATAATATCCTTTTCCTGCTTTTTAAAATAATTTATTTATTATATTTTACATCACTATTCATCTTTTTTTTTTTTTAGAATAATAATATCCTTTTGCAGTCAAGTATTTTTTCCAAGGCATGGATATTTAGCTTTTTAAAGTCCATACGTGATTATTTTGTCTCCTGCTTTGCCAGCAAGCAAATTCTTTGGTTGCTTCAACTTATACTTAAGTGTCACTCACAAAAAGGGAAGGGAGATGCAGGCATTTGGGGACACAAATACAATTATGAAAATAACTTTTGAGATTTGTCTTGTACTCAATACTTAGTTATTTTTCTTAAGGATTCTGTCTTCTAAGTCTCAAGGGCTGCTACCCCGAGACTTGGGGCCCAACTTCCACCTCTCCTCTCCATCAGCATGGAGTCATCTGTGCTTTCTCCATAGGAACTGTTTTCCCTTGAATACTCCAGAACATGTGGCAGTTCCCGAATAGCTTGGGTCAGATGCACCCCCACACCATGAGTACACCCACAAGTGGTTGGCCATACTTTGGAGGGGCGTGTATGGCCATGTTGTTTGGTTAGAAACCCTAGCACACTCCAGTGGTGGAGGTGGGAGGAGGGACGGCTCTTCACCTGTCATGACTAATGCATAGCCTTAAATGGGTTGTGTTCATAAGTGGCAAGATGCTTAAGCACCTTTGGAAACCTGTTGTGGAACCAAGCATCAAGGAAGGGCCTGTTGGCAAGGATCCCACACCACACTGCCACGTTTGGTCCTCTGGTGTCCACCTAGTGAGACTCTGACATACCCTGGCATTGGTGGTGACTTTATTGTGCTACCCAGACCTGGAGGCATCCTTGAGCCATGGACCTTCTCTTTTACCCAGTGTCAACGGTTGTCAGTAGCATGGACTGTGAAGCCAGATTGCTGGGTTTTGCATCCTTAGCCCAGCTACTGTGGGATCATGGGAAGACTACTTTACCTCTCTGCCTCTACTTCCACATAGGAAAAAATGTATAAAGATCAAGATGCATAAAACTGTATAGTAAGTGCTTGTTAAGTTTCAACCATGTTTGTAATAATTATCCTTCAGGAATTCTTTCTGTCAAAGTGATGAGAAATAATACTGTTTAAGCACTGCATTTGATGCTCCGGAAGTGCTAAACATTAATTTCCCTTTTTATTTTGCAGGACACCAAAGCAGTCTTCTCTCAGGCTGCTTTTGCTTTTCTTCCTTTTTAAATCTCAAAATGTGTTTATTCGCCCCCCCCCCCGCCCTTAGTACTTCCTAGCCTCCTTCAGATCCACACTCAAAATTCACCAGTACTTTATTAATTTTCACCTTGCTCTATTTTTAGGTCTGTAATATTTAAAAGGCTGCTGTTGACCATTCTCAATAGCTGCTATTATACTGTAGGGAAAGAAAAATCCATCCACACTACCAACAAAGGCAATACAGTGGTTCCTTATGGATGTGGTATTGTCCTTTTGCAATATATTTTATGCCAGACAAAAAGCCTAATTTAATGTACCTTCAAAGGGAATATTATTTCTTGTGACTAAATAGGGTCTATACTATCTGATATTTTCTTATCATCTCTGCATTAACCTAAAGTAGGGTCCATTAAATAAAATATGAAAGAGGTTACAGCATACAAAATGGCTTATAGCAGGAACATTATCTAGGATATGGTTTTGTTTGGAACAAATAGAAACCCTGACTGATAAGGGAGTGCCCTCGTTTTGTAAATACCGATCAAAGGCCTTAACTGTTCTAGTCAACACAGTCTACTTGCTTTTCTCCCTTTTATTAGGATCGTATCTGCGATTCAGTGCAGCTGTCATTTCCTGGGTGCATAGTTTGTGTCAGGCACTGTGCTATGTGTAGGCTGTGCAAAGATGAACTGATAACCGATCCCTGTGTTTGAGGCCCTCACCGTCTCTAGGACTTACTAGCTATGTAACTTTGGGCAAGCTGTTTATCTTCTATGTGCTTAGGTTTCCTCATCTGTCAGATGGGGAATTAATAACAGTACCTAGTTCCTAGGGTTGCTGTGAGGGTCAAAAGACTTAATACATGTAAATGCACAGGCCAGTGCCTAGTTCATTATAATCATTTAATAAATATTAGCCATTATCATTACTCATCATCATCTAGTTCAGTGGTTCCTGAAGGGTGTCTCTTGGACACACTTTAGATTTATGGGATGTTGTTAATTAAAGGGTTCCATGATTAAGTGTTTGGGAAATAATATGCTACACAAAGCTGAACAGGTTCTTCCCTGAAGGATTTCTCAGAACCTGTAACTTGCTTATGTCATCATATATTTGCAAGAAGGTGGTGATGTGTGCAATGTGTGTCTTGCAGGACAGTATTGTGCAGTGCAAAATTGCAGAAATAATGATATAGAGCTCTATTTTGTCTAGATTGACTGAACTTGAGCCACTGTCAACCATACTTCTAATGTCAGGCACTTAGAGAGTTAAATTCCTGGACCTATGTGCATCAGAGAATATGGAGTCAAAGTATTACAAATCCCTGCCTGCCATTCACTCTGTGACCTTAGTTCACTCTTAGTTTATCCTTCTGTGAATTGGGGACAATCATCTTACTATTAGGATTGTTATAATGAATGAACAAATAATGTATAGCAAGTGCCTGATTTGTAGCACACAAATTTCTTAAGAAATGGCTCTTCCACTATCCAAATAGTACCTGCAATGGCCTTGCTGTCTCTTCAACTGGTCCCACCTCCTCCATGGTCCAGAATGAGAGGGAGGCCAGAACTAGACCCACCCTTGGAGAAGATGAACACTTGTCTTTTACATCCACACTGAAATAGAGACAGCCTTTGAGTTCTAAGAGGGTTCTATCTATGTCTACATTTCTTTTCAGTTATCTTAATGAAATCTCAGTAAGAGGCATACAAATACCCTGAAGGAATCAGTAGATCCTTCCATGCCCTGGAAAGGGCTTTTGTCTCCTAAGCAGCTAATAAAGCTCTATACCAGATGTTGGCAAACTTTTCTCTGGAAAGGATCCGATAGTAAATATATTAGGATTTGCCTATCGCTGGGTCTCTGCTTCAACCAACTCAACTCTGTCATTATAGCACAAACTCAGCCATAGGGAATGCATAAATAAAGGAGTGTGGCTGTGCGCCAATGAAATTTTATTTACAAAAACAGGTGTCAGGTTAGATTTCCCCCACGGGCCACAGTTTGCTGACCTTGGTTCTGTGTGCTTCAGGTTGTTTGTTAAACCTCATTGTTGATAGGAACGGAGTTGCAACCAAGGTAACATCAGCACGCTAGGCATAGTGGATCTGATCCCTTCAAATGAAAAATTTTGATGTGACAGGTGGTGGGAAATCTAATCTCATCAGTGATCTGCTCAGGGAGTCTAATGAGACCAAGTGACACTGGCCAGTGGCAGCACCTGCTTGTCCTTCCCCTTCCTCCTGAACACACTCCCTTTAGAAAACATCACAGGCCTTTTCAGGGTCTCAACCCATCTGGGGCCAATCTTCTCTGGGTGGGCACTGGCCCTTTCCACTGTTGAGCAAAGCATGCTGAGTATCTATGATTTGTCCTCTCCCATGAGATCTTCATGGCAGAACCAAAAAACATCGTGTGCCTCTCCTAGCTCTGGTCTGTGACTTCACCCCTACCCCCTGTCCTCATGACCTGCAGAGGGAGGGCATAGCATTAAATGACTGCTGAGCTTCTGTCCAGCTTCTAATAGTCTATGAGCTTCTTGAGAATAACTTCTAAGGTTTATTATTAGGATGATAATAGTCACAATCTCTTCAGGGTTTACTATGTACTTGGCACAGGGCAGTGGATTTCCATGGATTATAATGGAAGATTTGGAGAAGCAAAAGTACTCACTCAGAATCACGCAACTTGTCAATAGGAGAGTCAGGACCTGAACTCAACTTGTTCAGTCTGATCCAAGAGCCCATGATTGCAACCGCTCTGTCTAGCCTCACTGCTTTCCATCCTTGCCTTTGGCACAGACACCGAGGCTGCGTGGGTATGGATGATCTGAACAGTAGTCTTAAGTATCAAGGTCACTTGAGGGGCAATTGTCATTTTATGTATGTTGGGTTCTCCCTTTTAAAGAACTCAACCGCCTATACCTGAGAAAAGAAAGCAAACATTGTAAAAAAAAAAAAAAAAAAGAACAATGATGTAAATATAAATAAATAAATAAATAAATAAATAAATAAATAAATAATTATATATTAAAAAAAAATAAAGAACTCAACCTCCATTCAGAAAATGCCCACATTTCAGTGAGGAATTTAATAGCCTATGCTGATTAAAGTCATTGTAGAAGGCAGTCAGCAAGGAGCCAAAAGTACAAAGCAAAGTGACAAACATAGTTTTGAAATGCAAACAAGCAGGGCCACTCGCTCACCACCTCCCTGCTTCATGGACTTAATTAAGGTGCTTGTGAAACTAAGTCTAACTCCTTTATCATATGTTTTAAAGGGATGATGGAATCCTGCAGCATTAGTGAGCACATGACTTCTAGCCATGGGAAGTTTTCCTTTGCTGTCCAATCCACGCATAGAAGAGGAGGTCTTGCTGCCTTGAGTTTCAGTCCTTTCTCCCCCATCACTGTTGCTCTAC